ATAAAGTCCTGCGTATTCGATACCAAACAATAACTAAAAAATTAGTTTTAGTAACAAAGGTCAGTAAAAACAAACTGTTTAAATCATTTTCAAACATAATTTTATAGAGCTTCGATTACTGGTGATATAGTATTTCTGAGCATGAGAGTATGATGTATACTGTGAATTCTGCCTTAGCTCTAAACTATAATATAACGATAAAATAAAATAATGAAATATGTAAAGAAAAGTTGAATTTTTACGAATACGATCGATTAAAAAATCTTCAGTTCAAATTAATATGGTGGGTATTTTGTATTTGCAGTAACTAATTACCAAATCAAGATATAATTTATAATACCACTTGCTAGATGTCACTTAGAGCTTTGTTTTTTTTCAATGGAATTCCATTCAACAGATGAAATAAGACTCAAACATTTTATACAGGAATATATCTCAATAGAAATCGACACACGGTCCATATCTCTTAGTAAGTACCTTAACAATAAGGTTGTGTCAAGTAACGTGCATGGCTCTCTGAAAAAATTTGTTTTGCTTAAGGTCAGCACAAATGATTTAGTAATAAAATAATAGATTTCATATAAACGACCAATTCGAATCAAGTTAGTTGCCTGCATCTAAATAGACTAGGAAATCGTAAGGTTAATGTTCTCCATTTGAGGCAAATGTTATCATGTATGTGCCATGACGAAAAGAAATAAAGGGAGTCTAAAAGAACACAGCAGTTTCGACAGGAACAAATAGAATGAGTGTCAGGCGGGCATAGGGGTCTGATAAAAACTTATGAAGCCTGATAGATACTACGTCGACAGGTGAGAAATAGATCAGGTGTTCGGCTGCCTGGCATATCACGGCTGTAGCTGTAGCTAGCAACGCTGTTCTCTTGTATAGTGTTAAAAGCCAAGAGCTCCCAGGATAGAAATTTAGCAGACATACAGATCTGATGGCAGGCACAAGGATCGTGACACTCCATAGGCGAATTTTTGAACATCTCTTCTGCAACTTCAAAAATTTTACTCCCCTGCAATGCTCTTTCTTACCTCCTTCATTGTCCTCAAAACAAAGTCGAACTTAGCAATTCGTGTTCTCAGCCACAGATTCCCTAGGTCCTGCGGATTTTACATAAAAGATAAGTTTACATTTTGATGCAGCTTCTAAAGAGTGGTAATTGTAAGGAATAGATGTCATAAAACAAAGCCCTAATGCCTCTTGTCAACATTTAGATTATGATCAGACGCCTATAACGAATTAAGTTTAGTGGCAAAACGACGATTGCCTGTAGATGTAAAAGTCCTCAACATAGATTTGACTATAAAACTTAATTTTTACTGAGTCAGGCCTGTAGTGCATGTAAAAGGCACTAGAGAGTAGTATATCTGCATCTAAGTCTACAAATCATATTCCACTAAAAGTGTGCGTGAGAAATAAATGAGATTGAAACTTCGGGATACATAGAACAATGAATTTACTATAAAGGGTAAGACTGCTCATGAATTTACGAGTTGAAGCGCTATAAATCCATGTAACACCATATGACAAGTGGCAAAAATCATATTCCTGATATGAAAGATAAATTAGCTATAAAAAGATGTCTTAAATCTGGCAAAAGTCAGTAACATCATTATATATTCATTTATATATTCGTATATTTCATTGTCTTAAACCTAAAAGCTAAACACTAGTGAGCCGAACAAGAGATTTGAATTAATAAGATGCAATACAATACATCTCTACCATATTATAGAATATTCCTGATGAAGAAGACATCACAGTTGGCTCATGGAAATCATGCTAATATCCACATATAAATTTTACTTCCCAATCGCATCGATTGGCCATCTGTTTCGGAATCTTATTCTAAGA